GGGGGGGGGGGGGGGGGGGACTTGAGAGGTCAGTCAAATTGGCCAACCTTGTTTAGTTAGGGTAGAGAAAATAACAAAGCTTTACTTAAAACAAACATTTAAAATGTATTTAGGACGGTTTACAGATTACACAAATGAAATTTGAGATTTTTGAGATGAAGAAAAGTATTTTTAATCTTAATGTGAAAATCACTTTGCACACGGATTATTCAAAACCAGTATTCAATATATTCATGGACAAATCTTAATTTTGGTTTATTAAAAATACTTCACTAAAAATATGAATTTTTGTATGTGAAAGACTTATAATATTAACTATAAGACTGCTAAATTTTGTGAAGGTATACACACTATATTGAAAGTTAGAAGTATTAAATCTATAATGAGTTTAAACAAGTACAAAGAGGTCACATGGTTGGTCAAAATGACCACGCCCATGTGGAGAGAGTTAATGTACCTGAAATGTTAGGAAATATTTGATGCTTTTTTTTCTAAAATTAATTACAAACTTAATTTAATATGTACTTGTTTGATTAGTGCATTTCAAGATGCAGCAAACTAAAAGATGTCAGTTTAATGCATGTATTGACTCTTTAAAATCATTAGTATAATTACATTCATCTGCAAAATGTTTTCTTTTATTCATTTACTGTGACAGTGAATAAAATATATCCCTGCACTGTTTTTTTTTTGTTGTAAAGTTAATTTAATTTTGTTTATGTACAAATTCACACAAGAATAATTGAAATTCATATGAAAAGCTGTAAATTAAAGAATTTCTTTAGTTAGTTTCCCCCTCATGCCAGGACCATTTGCACTGACTAGTCACTATATTAGGATTTACTCACACACATTTGAAGTGCATACCATTTATTTACATATGTAAAATAAACTTTTCATATCATGTGTCAGGTGGTTTCTTGAGTCTTATACTGTAGTCCCCTCTTAGATATGATCGACCTATTTGCCATGATAAAAAGTCATATTTGACAGGAAGTCGTTATTCAAAGCTTGTTAAGTTTGTGATTTGTTGTTTTATGCACTTTAGTGACTTTCAGGTTCAAATTAGAAATGCTTTCCCTAACTCCATGATTTTAACTTTATTGGCAACAATTGCTTTAACTTGCATTTTGCCAACCTACATTTCAACAGAAACATGAATACATTTGGCACCTATTTCATACTTTTTGAGGATTTCGATCTTTTCTTGCAGAGTCAGGTGTTTACGTTTTTGCTTTTCTTGAGGCATTGTGAGACAGAATCAATGTTTGTACAAAATGCAAGTGATTTATTCTTCAATATGTGTCATATTTATATAGCAAGCCACAGATTAACAACTCACCGGGAGAATTACCTACGTCATTCGTTATCTGACATCTCGAAAAACACCCATTCTGACTACTGATTGGCTTGTGAGGTTTTTCCCAGCTTCCATCACAGTGTCAATTTCATGGCCAATTACACAGTACTCGTCAAAACTCTCATGTGTCAACTGGTGTAATAAAGTCCTTGTTGCTGTTGAAATTATTATTTTTTTCTGATCACATTGAATAATCAAGGTAGAGATATTCATATTTTATAGAATATCACATAAAATATGAAACTTTCCCAGCCTTCATGTTTATTTTCATTCAGATTATAGTACATACACATACGTGTAAAATAGATAAATGAACACACAACATAAATACATGTAGGTCACATGACTGGAAATTTCTTCACAGCCTAGTACAGTGTATATATCTAGGTATCTTGGTACCTCAGGGTGTTGGTTTAGGGTAGGAATGTTTTGTTCAGTTAAGATAGCTTCCTTTATTCTGTGTTTATAGATGTTTGGTCCTTTGTTTAGAATTACAGTGGTTTGTGTAGATATACTGTGGTTTTTTGAGTTGCAAACGTCATAAACATGAGATGGTTTTTTATTATGTTAGGTGAATCTAGTTTCCAATTTTCTTCCAATTTCTCCAATGTAGAATTCTGGACAGTTATTGCACATTATTTTATAAATGACATTGGTATTGTGTGATTCTATGTAATTTTTATTTAATAATGATTTTAATATCCATTTATAAAAGGAAGGTTGATGTGTATTTTACAGTATTTTTGGGTATAAAGAAAATCATCAAAATATTTTCAATAATTTACTTCTGCTTATTTATTTTTGTCAAATAGTCTGTTTCACTGTGTTTCTTTAGACTTGTATTAAAAAGTAATGTGCATCTGTGATGCTAATTTTGTGTAATTATGTGTTTATATGCTTAGAAATGGAAAAGGTAAAAAAATTCCCATTTTAGCCACAGCATAGTGGCTCATAGAATGATTCTGAGTTTTTCAAGTACAAACTTTTAGCTCATATCTCCAACATCTCTTGGATAATTTGATATATAATTACAGTTTTGGACTAAGGAGGTCAAACCCTTTTGATTGATGTACTTAACCATGCCCAAGATCTCGTAGATTAATTTAATCTAATCCTGCCTAAAAGAATTTTAATTTGAGGGTAGACTGGTAGAGATCCTGATGAGTAATAAAATCAAATGGGGTATATGTGTGCCCCATATTGCTGGTGTACATGAATAAAAAAGAAGAAGAAAAGGTCTCACAGAATAATGTACTCTAATCCTGCCTAAAATAATTTCAAGTGCTATGGCTATTGAGGACTCCCTCTTGTTTGTCAGTGAAGTATATTAAATTTTGTTGTAAAGTATTTTAATACAACTCAGAATAGTGATTTGTTATATACAACATTTAGAAAGTAGAACATGAAGTAGTTTATGCAACACATTGAAAATCTTGCACATACACACTAATTCTTTCTTTATCATCATACGTGTGTGTATGATGTAGGCAAGTATTTGTAAACCTTAGAATTTTGTAGCTTAGTTTTTTCTTTATCATCAGGTCACAAATAGTTTAAAAATACTAGATATAAATGTGACATCTTTTCTATATAATCCATCATTACAACAGTTTTGTGGAGAAGTACATATTTAAAAAGCATTCCAAGCTCTTTCACATGATATATTCAAAATGCTTACATTGAAAAAGTTTCCTTGTTTAATTAATGATGAGAAAATGATGTACTTCAGAATGCATTAGATGGAAAAATTCAAGCTTCTCATGACTGGCTGGAAGATCCCTCAGCAGTGACAGGTGGAGTAGGGGAGAAATCTCTGCGTCACATCTTGGGTTATGCCCAACGTGTGGCAGAACGTTCTCTTCCTCCTGATCACAATGCAATAAAGAAAATGTGTGGTGACATCACCTCAATGACAGATGCTTTAGCTGAGCTCAGACAGGAAGGGAAGGTAAGAAATCAGTTAAGGAATAAATTTATTGAAAGTATGATTTAGTATTTCAAATAAAAGGAAGAGACTAGACTATTTTTAAGTAAAGTTAGATACTATGTTTTCATTTTTTCTGATGAAATAATGAGTTTTTTCTTTCTGTGTTTTCATTTTTGTTATTTCAATTATGAGCAAAAACATGTTATTAAACTAGCATAACAGCCTTATTTTATGAAAACTCTTCAAAAAATTTGTAGACATGGTGTTATGATTTCTCTTGTGAGACTAATAAAATAATTATCTACTTATAAATTAGTCTAATTTCATTGTAAGAGCAATTTTTAAAGTTGAATTTAAGAATATCTGAAATTATGGACACATTGAGTTTTCTCCATAAATATAATGGTATTTTAATAAATTGAGCATATTACACCAGTATAATAATATACATTTGCATAAAGCTTTTAATTTTTTTTTTTGGTATATTTTAAGGGTGCTTCACCTCAAGCCCAGTCACTTTCTAGAGGAATTGGACAGAAGCTTCGAGAAATGAATGGAGTAATCATAAGTGCCATTCAGAATGTGGAGAGCAGTGGCATCCAACAACCTGCTCACACAGTGGGGGGTCGTGTTGAGCAAGCTCAGCGGTGGCTAGTAAATCCTAGTTTTGATGATAAAGGCCTTGGTAAATCTTCCATTCTTTGAAAAGTTTCAGAAATTTTTCCACAGAATAATAATGAAATGTTGAATCTAGGTTGTTTTTGTTGTGTAACCCTTTGGTTTAATAAATTCTGGTGACCTCCTTGCATCTAACCAAGTACAAAGTATTTGAGTGAGCTGACTTTAAATTGTATTTCTTAAGTTATTAAAGATATTAAAAAGTTAAAGGAATAACTTAAAAAGTAAAAAATACCAAAAATAATACATCCGTGTAGTTTCTGATGATATACATAATTATAAGTATTAATGAAACATATCCATATCTCAAACATTACTTGTGTCAGCTTGGTATTGTTTAATGTTCCCCTTCTAGAATATTCCATTTTTTGTTTCAGAGCTTATGTTTCATTGCCATGTAATTCTGTGGTAGTTAATATGTGTGTTCCATTAGTAGGCCTAGAAATAAAGAAATTTTGAATTTTATATTTTCCTGATGCTAAGGATGATTCCAATACGGTATTATACCTCCTGTCACATAATAGCTATTCTTGTTCAATACTGCCCTCTATATGCAAAATTTCTTTCATATGCCAAAAAGCCTTGAAACTTCCACCTACCCCACAATCAACATGGTTCACTGCATCTTTGCATGTACATCATTATGCAACAACCCTCCACCAAGAGAAGTGTGACACACCCTCCTGATGCACATGACTATCTCTATTCAATTCTACCTAACTATAATTTCTTGTTAGACAGTGGTCTAGTGTAGAAGTTTTGATACTATTGATTTTATCTGATAATCTTCTTTTTGCGAAGTAGTGCCTCATTGTTTCTCTACTTTTTTCTACGGTTTCTTCTTTGTGGTAATTGACCACGCAATTTACCTTGGTTTGTAATTTTTTCCTCATTCTACTTTTCTGACTTGTTCACAGTGGATCATGAATTTGTAATTTCAGGTTAAACTTCAGGCTTCATATCAGGGGGTCTAGGATGAGGGTTTTTCAGCTATCATTTGTCGAGAGATTGATCTCTACATGAGTCAACCCTTTTCTCCTGACAGTGTATGGCAAACCTCTTCATTATAGGAGGATTTTGACAGCCTTTTTCCATCTCCTACCTGTACTGTGCACTCTTATGCCTCTCCTGAGGAATAAGCCAGGCCTCCCTCAGCCTTTTAGTACATGCTTTCTCAGGTTTGTTACATTTTATCTCTTTCCCCAATTTCTTATGATCCTGTCCCTTCCTTGTTACATGACCCCATTGTCTGACTACCTTGCCTTCCCTCCTTCTCCTGATACCTGGGTACATACTGAGCATTTTGTTTCTGAATTGAGGGCTGGTGCCAGCATACTTCATCTACCACAGACTTCTGATCATTATGCATTAGCTTATCTTCAGGCTGATCATCCTTTTCTCAACCCCCAAACAACTGAAGTCACTTTTGCCTATGTGAAGGACAGACCCTGATAATTCTATCTGATCTGATTATCCCACACCCAGTTTTCCTGACTTCGTTTTACCCTTAAATCTCTCCTATGTTAGTTTTCCTCCATACACCTTTCTGAGGCTTTCCACTGATGCCCTGAGGGGTTTTCTGAGGATAACTGTTTCCCCATTACCTCAGTGTTGACACAGTTATCCTCCTCTTCACTATCTCTTAATATGTAGTTTCTTTTCTGTTGGGATCTCCTTGGTAGGGATGCAATCATGTGCTTCCCCATGTGCTTTTTGTTGTCCCACAAAAAAAACTGGGGCCTAGCATTCTGTGATTGATCTGTCCTGTCTCAACCAATTTCTGGATTTTCCCAGTTTCCCATTGAATCTTTTCTTATCCTTCAGTGGGCTTTTTCTCCAGGTATGTGAAGGACCAAGGTGGATGTCTTAGATATTTATCTCCATATTCCCATTTCTTATCAGTCCCGATGCTATCTTCGGTTTGTACACAATTGGGTTGTATTTTAGTTTCACACTTTTCCTTTTAGGCTTGCATCAGCACCTTATATGTTTTGTCAAGTGGTCAAAGCCTTTGCCCTAATTATGCAGGTATGTGGGTTGTGTTTCCACCACTACATGGATGACTGGTTTCTGTTAGCTCCTATCAAAATGGTGTCTTCTCAACACTCTCATCTGCTGTTGATAGAAGCAGCTCGTGTTGGTTGGATTCTCAAGATGGAGATATCTTTCCTGATTCCTACTCAATATCTTCTCCACTTGGGTATGTTTTTCAACACTTATCTCAGTCGGGCCCAACCTTCTCCACTTTGTCTGCATTCGATGGAGCTTTCAGTTCTTCATGCCCTTTCTTCTCCCTTCCTTTCTGCAAGGGAGATTCTATTGCATTTGGAGACATTGGCTGCCTAGAAGTCTCTATCCCCTTGTGTCATGCAGTGCACATTGCATAACCAATGGAATCTTGCTTGGGATCCCTTAGACTACCCTATTACTGAACAAGGACAAAACTATGGAGGGGTACCACTCCCTCCTCCTTGTCCAGATTTTCATCTATTCACTGATGCTCTCTCCAGGTTTGGAGGACATGGGTTGATCAGCAAGAGGCCTCTGGACAATGGTCTCAAATTGAACAACCACATCATATTCTATCATCATCTTGGAACTTCTGGCTGTACAATGTGCTTTGGATCATTTTTTTCCCTATTATATGGAACAAACTCTTCATGGTCCATTCAGACAATTCCATTGTTGTCTCCAATGTCAATCACCAAGGAGGCATCCATTCTCATTCAATTTGTGGTCGAACATTGGAACTACTTTATTGGGCCCACACACAACAAATATGTCTCATAACGTGTCATGTTCCAGGTGCTTTCAACATCATGGCAGATTGTCTTTCTTGACCCGATCAGATTTATCCCACAGAATTGTCCCTTGACCCTCAGGTTTGCTGGTGGCCTTGTGATCAATGAGATACTGCTCATCTGGATGCTTTTGTCACTTCTCTCAACACCAAGTCACCTCTTCTTTGATTTCCAGTTCCTCATCCACAAGCCCTGGCTGTGGATGCTCTCAGTCACGTTTGGACCAACTTGTACATTTATGCCGACCCTCCTACTTGGCTCCTTTCAAGGATGATTTTGGTCATCCATTCCACTCCATGTCACATCCTTCTAATTGCTTCTTACTGGTTGGCACAACCTTGGTTCCCTCTTCTCTTACAGCTCCAAAATAACCCCCTCAAAACCTCTTCTGTTTATTCCATCTCTCCTCAATCAATCCTGGTTTTCTCGTCTCTTACAGCTCCAAACTAACCCCCCATAACCTCTTTATGCTTATTCCATCTCTTCTCTGTCAACCTCGGCCACCAGTCCTTCATCCTGCTCTTCACATCCTTCGACTTCATGGCTGGCATTTTTCTAGTCTCTCGTGAAGAGAAGCACATGTTGCTTACAATTTAGCCCGGTCCATTCAGCCTTCCTCCCTTGTGGTTTATCCACATAAGTGTAACATTTTCTGCCATTGATCTTTAAGCTCAAGGTCTTCCCCTTCTTCACCAACTGTCCCTCTCCTTATGGATTTTTTTACCTGGCTGTTTGACCATGGAGCTTCTGTCTCTTCCAATGCAGGATATTGAGCAGCCTTGTCCAACAATTTCCATTTTTCCAGGTATTGTGTTCTTTCCAGATTTGTCGACCACCTCATTAAGTGGTTCTCCTAGATTGGAATGTCAGTATTGTTCTTCACTGTCCCATACTCCCTATATTTGAACCTTTGCCCTCCTGTACCCTGTATCACCTATCCCTTAAAACTTATTTCCTCCTCCTCTTAACTTGTGAGCATCATTGGTCTGAGATATTTGCCATTGATGTTTCAGTTACTCAGTTCCATTCCACATATGTTCTCCTTTAACCGGATCAATCTTTCCTGCCCGAAACTTTGGCTGCTTGTGAGGGACATTCTTCATTCTCACTGATTTCCCTTCCCTCCATTTCTCACCTTTTCATTCCCTGGAATCTATCCTCCTTACATGACCTTTCACCTTCCACCCTGACAGGTTGGTTTTGTCAGCTTATTAGACTGTTGTATTCCTCCCTGTCTCCTACTTCCTGCAATTTGTTTTAGGTGTCGTAACATCAGATACAGTACCTTATATTTTCCCTGGCATTGCACTTCTGTCAATCCTTAGAGGAAATAATTTTGGGCATGTGGACAACATCTCATACTTTCATCTCCCACTACCTTCATTGAGTGGTTGTTTCTTCCTTGTTGGGGTACCGCCTTCCACCTGTTGCCATATTTCAAACCGGTTCAACTATGACATGATAAGATATTTTTCTATATATTATTTTTGCTTACAGTGGCATGTCCCCTTTAGGTCTAGGATCCTGCTCATTGGCAAGCATTGCCTGTCCAGGTATGCTACTTATCTATCCATTACAAAAATCTGCACTGTACAGCCAACCATAAGTCATTCCAGGGTATATTTTCTGGTGCCTAGTGACTCAGTTGCTCCATCTTTGTGTGGTGGGTCCCAGAAGTTGATATTAAGCAGTCCTGGCTCAGATCATCCCGTGGGATGTGGCTACTCGGAAAACATCTGCTGGTGATACATATACTTCAGCTTCTCTGCAGTCCTATCCAGAAGATGATGTTGTGTGGGTTACATATGGCTACTCCCGATGTTCCACTATAGTGGGGTTGGGCCCTAGAGGTTGATGTTGCTCAGGGTAGCTTGGTGAGGGTTGTATGGGATGTACCGCCGATGTTGTCTTCGGGTGGAACTCATCCCACCTATCTCGATGTATACCATTGGCTAATAATGCACTGTTCCACAAGATCGTTAGTAGGTTTTCCTCTTGCAACTTTGCTTCATCAACATGCCTGTTCCAGACCATACTATCTGATGGACTTTCATGGGTAAAGCAGAAGAGGATTGCTGCCCATTTCTGCCTTCCCTTCAATTGAATAAATCATAGGCAGGCTGCTTTTCAAAATAGAGTTTTCATGGTCTCCCATTGCACTGTCTCTGGTCTTGGTGTTACTCCAGACTCTCCGTCTCATTTTGGGCCCCCAGTTTCTTCTAGTGGAGTATGAGAGTTCTTGCCACTTTCACTTTCTAGCTGCTGGAGTGGTGGACCATAGAGGCAACCTCCTGAATGTGATCACTTCCATTCAGTAGAGAATAGGGTGGTGGTGTTCTGCCAGTGTAGATGGTGTAGGTCCTCCACTTGTGTGTTCCACCTCCATGTGGTGGGCCCCAGATGCTGATGTTGCACATCCATGTGCTCCAGTCTCTGTGCCGTACATTCCATGGGATAATGTTGTGCATATATTATAGTAGTATATTCCATGAATTTGAGTAGGTCTGTCCTTTCACCCCTCAAATTGGGATCCCTCGTCCTACCATCGATTGATGTCAGTTCCCAGTTAGTGGTTTTGGTTTAGAGCTGTACTAATCATCATAAGTCCTCTCAAGTGTTGGTTGTGAAGACAGTGTGGACCATCTCCTACCACAAGTTGGATTATGTATGCTCGATGTCACCTGGTTTTGGACTGGAGTTGACCTACTGAGTATGGTCTGTTGTGCCCTAGTCACTCTACAACATGGGACACATTCATTCATTGGATGTGCTGTTCCCAATTTCAGCTAGTTTATGCAACAACCACTACCAAAATAGGTGAAGAGTATATATATATATATATATACCTGGTACAGAAGTTGTGTGGTTCTCCTATATATATGTTCCTCTACCAGTGAGGGTTCACACTCCATGAGTGTTCTTTGGATGTTTTGGAAGGATGCTTATCTATACCCCTCCCACCATTCCCTTTACCTTTTCAATGTGAGATTCTAGTTGTTATGTGAGAAGAGGTATAGTACTGTATCAGAAGTTATTATTTTCCTACACTGAATATATATTTCTGATATGTTCTTATCTCATACTTCTCACCCTCCCTCTCCACTTAAAACAGGTGCTTACTTTCTACTTAATCTCAAAGTGATGGTTAGGTAGAATCGAATAGAGGGAGTCATGTACATCAGGAGTGTGTGTCACATTTTTATTGGAGGAGGGTTATCACATGTTGATTTACAAGTGAAGACACAGTGAACCACATTGATCATGGGGTAGGTGGGAGTTTCAAGGCTTGTGGCATGCAAAAATGTTTTGCATATAGAAGGCAGCACTGAGCAGCAATAGTTATTATGTGAGAGGAAGTAAGTACCTATCAGATATATATTTTCAGTGTAGGAAAATATAACTTTCGTAATTTCAGTATTCAGAAACGTTTTTCTCTGGAGTTGACAAAATTTGTAAATTTACACCTTCAATTTCTCTTCAAAACTTGCCTTAAACCACTTGCATATTAACAGAAAGCAATAAAAGGGTTAAGAACTTTTTTTATCACAAAGGAGGTGTATTATGTGTAGTGTAATCATCTGGGCTTTTGTGTATTTAACTAGGTCAAGAAGAATGGGTTTTCACAAACACAAGACATATTTAATAAAGGATTCATTTATGAAACTCTCCACAGGACTTTAGAATAATTCCCTAGTCATTGCCAAAATAGGTTAATATTGAACTTTAAATGGTTGCATATGTAGTTATTGTTCCAATTAATGAGAAAGGAATCTTCCTCTATGAGATTCTCAATTTGCATGTTTTTGGTTGGAAATGATTTGACACTTGAAAATCTAGCTTGCATTGCATCAAGAGTGAAATTCTTATCAATAAAGTTCTGGCATTCATATGTGCATACAAATAAGAATTTTGCTCATTTGTGTAATTTATACTATAATTTACTTAAAAGAAGAAGAAAATACATGCAACCTTGTTTCTTTATAACACTTGCAATGATTGTTATAGTGTGTATGCATTTTACAAGCTGGCAAAGAATTATTACAATTATGTTTGTTGTAAGACATTATTATTAGGCTTATTAAATTTTTAAACATTACATTCTTAATCTAATCTTTAGGTATTTTCAAGAATTAGAAGACTGTATAATAATAGTATTCCAACCATGCTATATCCATTGCCAACGAATCATTTTGCTCAATTCAGAGCTCTTCAGGCTGGCTAGAATACAACAAACACATTAATGTTCAGAACATTATTTACATAAGCCACTGATACAGTAATAATTTTATGGTGTTTATGCCTTTTATGAGCCAGTGAAAAATTATTACAACTGTTTATTGTATTCCAGCTGACCTGAAGAGCTCTCGATCGAGTGAAACACATAAGTGAAAATGGATATGACAAATCTAGTTGTTGGAATACTTTTATCATACACTCTTATAATTCTTGAAAATCCTTAAGAGAATGTAGTGCTTAAAAATGTAATAGGCCTAATACTAATGCCTTATGACAAATACAATTTTAAACACTTACAATGAGCAAGCACTAAACTAAAACTTTCATAATGGTACAGTTTACCTTGCATGTCATTTATTTATATATGTAGTTTTGGCTTCCCGTTTCGTTAAATGATGAAAAGACATTATACAAACTAATATGAGGGGCAGATATCAATCACAGCTCATCAGCCAATAAAATGTTTCATTTGTATATTTTGCCATTAGTAACCAATCATAAAAGTCGCATAACCAGATGAGATTATCCTATTAGTTTAAACAATCAATAAATGTCTGAAGTATATTTATAGATTGTTTAGATTCTGTGAGTCATGCTGTGTCTGCTTTCTGGCAGTATGATGGAAATTGTACAGTGTGGCAAAAAGCAAATCAAATAAGTCCTGGTACTGGCATTAAAATAAGTCGTGATACTGAGTGTCAGTACAATTTCACCCTTGCTTTATATACACATTTGAGTTGTTGTTTCTATTATTTAAAGTCAAAATTAACAATAGTTGTTTCAACCAAAAACTTTCTTTGTGTAATTTAAGAAGTCAAATGGGTGTTTTTGTGTATATTTTCTGTACCTTGAATAAAGATTATAATATGAACAAAAAATTCAAATTTTCTACTCTCTTACCTAAGCTGTTGGAAAAATTGAAAGCAAAAAACACTTCTGTGAAAATTGTTTATTTAAAACTTGCCATTTTTTGTAAGATTTGTTGTTTTTGTATTTTGTGAGGAAATTATGCAAGTTTAGAGGAGAGAACAAAGTATAGACAGAAAATATCTGATTAAGAGTCTGAATTTTTTTTCAATCTTTAGGTCAACAAGCATTACAGTCTATTATTCAAGAAGGTCACAAGTTAGCTGAAACCTGTCCTCATGTAGGAAAACTAGAAATCCAGCATCTGTGTAATGAAGTTGAAGCTTTTTCTCACCAGCTGTATGACTACTGTCGCAAGGGGCAGGTATGTCAATACCTGATTAATCTGATTTATGTTGTAAAGAGAGAGGCACTTCGGTATCTTGTTGGACTGAAATACGTATTAAGGGACGCTTTTGTTTTTGCTTTATCATATGTGTAACTTATTTTACAAAGAAAAAGCATATAGATGGTTTCTTGATTGTTTTATCCTTTCGTTACGGGTAGTCAGGGGTCAGAGGGCACATTATCACGTTTGTAGACTTACATTCAAATTCTACTGAACTATTATTTAATGACTGTATGTCAATAAACTTGGTATCAAGTTGTAGATTTTAATTCAGATTTTATACATTAGTTAATTTCTTAATTTGAAAGTAAATATACAAAAAAAGCAAAATATCAATTTTTGTTTGTCACACTGGTACATCATTTTATGATGTCCACAGTACAATGTCTGTAGCTTCATATCATAATATTTATCAAATTCACCATATTGGTTCAGCCCACTTCATCATCATTTGAAATGACTTGTTTATCTATGCCTGATTTTTATACCTACAAGTTTATAACCAATTGAAAGTTCTACATTTCCTCTATGTAATTCTATTAATCTTTCTAAGTTGTTCATGAGAGTAAAGCTCTCATATTGTTAGAGAGTTTGAAGTATTATGATCACTGCTATTTTCCAAACAGAAATTAGATTTTTCAAGACCCAAGTACAACATTGTTAGGAAGCCTGGTAAATTACAATAGATTTTTGTTGTATTGGTATAGTCATTTATAATTTTTTTTTATTCAAAAATGCATATATAAAGTCTACAAAATGTTTTTTATTTACATCGAGATGTGAATTTGGATGAGGCTTATGATAAGGGTTAGCAAGTATGACTCATGAGTGGAAAAAATAATTTCAAAACATCATAAGTAGTGGAGATCCTTGTTTTCCAAATATTTTTTATTTACTGTTCTATGTTTTAAGTAAAATAATTGAAATTGAAATATTTATTTGTAAATAGTAATAATGTATGTAATGTATGGTAACCAAAACTTCACTGTACTTTACAGAATATTGGAAATATACATTTGTTGGTTACTGTGTAAGCATGGTAAAATAGGAGACAGGATGTTCATAAGCATTTTTACACCTATATTACCACTAAATCTTGACCACCCAAGTTTATTGGAATGGATACAACTTTGTACAGAATCATATCATAAATATTTTCTCTCACTTTTATATCGTACTTCAGACAATTCTTGTTGTAACTACTGTACTGTGTAAACAAACTGATAAATCCTACCCCACTGTGTTTTCAGAGCCAGGATTCGAATAGACTCTGTAGGAAACATACTCTTATCGACCAACATTCAAATACTTACCATGTGTAAACAAACTGATAAATCCTACCCCACTGTGTTTTCAGAGCCAGGATTCGAATAGACTCTGTAGGAAACATACACTTATCAACCAACATTCAAATACCTACCATGTGTAAACAAACTGATAAATCCTACCCCACTGTGTTTTCAGAGCCAGGATTCGAATAGACTCTGTAGGAAACATACACTTATCGACCAACATTCAAATACCTACCAGGTTTATTGGATCAGCCCAGATTTTCTACAAAGCCATAGCATAAGCATTTTATAATACTTTAGACAATTGCCATTGTAACCTTTATACTCTCAACAAGTTTATAAATTTTACCACAGTGTATTTTCAAAGCAGGAAAAGTTCTAAAAATTGTGCTGCAAAAGTTTATTTGATATTGACGGTGTCAAAGTACAGTAACACCTAAACAGGAACAGTGATTCATTGCTTTATATTCTGCAGGTTTATACTTCAGCTGCTAACAGTAGAATAAACATAGGAAATAGGTGTAAAAAGATTAGAAGAAACTCTCAGATTTACTTTGGAACTTCATTGTACGTACCGAAAAGGACAGACAGTGCTATTCATATTGCTTCTTCTAGTTTGTAAGCCATCTGTTAGCAATAAAATAACTACAGAAAATAAGTTTGAAAAGGTGAGAAGTGTAAATTCTGACCATAAATACTTTGAAATTTTGTGATCAATACTAACATTGCTATACATTTTATTTTGCATTTGCAGCCTTTATTTTCATTATACTTTGATTAATTATTTACAACCTGGAGAACCAAGTATAATGTTATAGTAAAGAAAATAACAGATAAAATATAAAGCTTTACTGAAAATAAAAATGTTTGATATTTAATTACGAGGTTTTTTATTTTTCATTTGTTTTCACTATTTATTATTATGAAAGTAACTAAAATGTAAAAAACAGAAACTTATTAGGTAAGATAATGAAAAAAATATATATTCATGGGGTATACCACCCAGCCCGTATGTGTAGGGTTAAAGAGTAAATTGTGTTAAAAATATAATGGTGATGAAACTTGGAGAAAGCTAGGATTTTAATGTAAAAATAATTTGATAAGATTTGGTTAAAAAGTTTTGAAAGTGAAAATAAGTTTTTTACAACAGAAGTTGAATTACTGAAATTATATTTTAACTTATGGTTTTTGTTCCAGCTGATTTTAATATTCTACAAATCATCAAAATATGGTTAGTTTGAGTTGGGACAGTTTTATATTTAATGCTAGAACTGATCTAAACAACTATAAAGTATGTAGGTTTCTAAATGCATATATATTGAAACACATAAAGCAGGAATAAATTCAGGACTTAACTCTTTCAACACGGGCTCAGTCAATTTGACTGACCACATGATCTCTTTGTACTCAAATAAAGTCTTTATAGAGTTAATACTTCTAACTTTCAATATATTGTGTATATCTTCACAAAATTTGGCAATCGTTTGGTTATTATTACAAGTCTTTCACATACAGAAAATCATATTTTTTAATGGAATATTTTTAATAAACTAAAATAAAGATTTGTCCATTAATATATTGAATATTTGTTTTGAATAATCCGTGTGCAAAGTAATTTTCATGTTAAAACTAAAAGTACTTTTCCTCATCCCTAAAATCTCAAATTTCCTTTGTATAATTCCTAAAACCTCCTAAATGCATTTCAAACGTTTTTTTTCAGTAAAACTTTATAGTTTATCTGTTATCTTCTCTACCCTATATCAAAACGGGATCAGTCAATTTGTTAATATTATATTTGGTTAATATTATAAGTCTTTCACATAGAAAAAAACATAGTTTTAGTGAACTATTTT